CACATACATGTATGTTTAGTGACCAGTACTATCTCCTTGGCTGTCCACACATACATGTATGTTTAGTGTCAAGTAATATCTCCTTGGCTGTACACACATACATGTATGTTTAGTGTCCAGTACTATCTCCTTGGCTGTACACACATACATGTATGTTTAGTGTCCAGTACTATCTCCTTGGCTGTACACACATACATGTATGTTTAGTGTCCAGTACTATCTCCTTGGCTGTACACACATACATGTATGTTTAGTGTCCAGTACTATCTCCTTGGCTGTACACACATACATGTATGTTTAGTGTCCAGTACTATCTCCTTGGCTGTACACACATACATGTATGTTTAGTGTCCAGTAATATCTCCTTGGCTGTACACACATACATGTATGTTTAGTGTCCAGTGATATCTCCTTGGCTGTACACACATACATGTATGTTTAGTGTCCAGTAATATCTCCTTGGCTGTACACACATATATGTATGTTTAGTGTCCAGTACTATCTCCTTGGCTGTACACACATACATGTATGTTTAGTGTCCAGTAATATCTCCTTGGCTGTACACACATACATGTATGTTTAGTGTCCAGTAATATCTCCTTGGCTGTACACACATACATGTATGTTTAGCGTCCAGTAATATCTCCTTGGCTGTACACACATACATGTATGTTTAGTGTCAAGTAATATCTCCTTGGCTGTACACACATACATGTATGTTTAGTGTCCAGTAATATCTCCTTGGCTGTACACACATACATGTATGTTTAGTGTCCAGTACTATCTCCTTGGCTGTACACACATACATGTATGTTTAGTGTCCAGTACTATCTCCTTGGCTGTACACACATACATGTATGTTTAGTGTCCAGTACTATCTCCTTGGCTGTACACACATACATGTATGTTTAGTGTCCAGTACTATCTCCTTGGCCGTACACACATACATGTATGTTAAGTGTCCAGTACTATCTCCTTGGCTGTACACACATACATGTATGTTTAGTGTCCAGTAATATCTCCTTGGCTGTACACACATACATGTATGTTTAGTGTCAAGTAATATCTCCTTGGCTGTACACACATACATGTATGTTTAGTGTCCAGTACTATCTCCTTGGCTGTACACACATACATGTATGTTTAGTGTCCAGTACTATCTCCTTGGCTGTACACACATACATGTATGTTTAGTGTCCAGTACTATCTCCTTGGCTGTACACACATACATGTATGTTTAGTGTCCAGTACTATCTCCTTGGCTGTACACACATACATGTATGTTTAGTGTCCAGTAATATCTCCTTGGCTGTACACACATACATGTATGTTTAGTGACCAGTACTATCTCCTTGGCTGTACACACATACATGTATGTTTAGTGTCCAGTACTATCTCCTTGGCTGTACACACATACATGTATGTTTAGTGTCCAGTACTATCTCCTTGGCTGTACACACATACATGTATGTTTAGTGTCCAGTACTATCTCCTTGGCTGTACACACATACATGTATGTTTAGTGTCCAGTAATATCTCCTTGGCTGTACACACATACATGTATGTTTAGTGTCCAGTGATATCTCCTTGGCTGTACACACATACATGTATGTTTAGTGTCCAGTACTATCTCCTTGGCTGTACACACATACATGTATGTTTAGTGTCCAGTACTATCTCCTTGGCTGTACACACATACATGTATGTTTAGTGTCCAGTACTATCTCCTTGGCTGTACACACATACATGTATGTTTAGTGTCCAGTACTATCTCCTTGGCTGTACACACATACATGTATGTTTAGTGTCCAGTAATATCTCCTTGGCTGTACACACATACATGTATGTTTAGTGACCAGTACTATCTCCTTGGCTGTACACACATACATGTATGTTTAGTGTCCAGTACTATCTCCTTGGCTGTACACACATACATGTATGTTTAGTGTCCAGTACTATCTCCTTGGCTGTACACACATACATGTATGTTTAGTGTCCAGTACTATCTCCTTGGCTGTACACACATACATGTATGTTTAGTGTCCAGTAATATCTCCTTGGCTGTACACACATACATGTATGTTTAGTGTCCAGTGATATCTCCTTGGCTGTACACACATACATGTATGTTTAGTGTCCAGTAATATCTCCTTGGCTGTACACACATATATGTATGTTTAGTGTCCAGTACTATCTCCTTGGCTGTACACACATACATGTATGTTTAGTGTCCAGTAATATCTCCTTGGCTGTACACACATACATGTATGTTTAGTGTCCAGTAATATCTCCTTGGCTGTACACACATACATGTATGTTTAGCGTCCAGTAATATCTCCTTGGCTGTACACACATACATGTATGTTTAGTGTCCAGTAATATCTCCTTGGCTGTACACACATACATGTATGTTTAGTGTCCAGTACTATCTCCTTGGCTGTACACACATACATGTATGTTTAGTGACCAGTACTATCTCCTTGGCTGTACACACATACATGTATGTTTAGTGTCCAGTACTATCTCCTTGGCTGTACACACATACATGTATGTTTAGTGTCCAGTACTATCTCCTTGGCTGTACACACATACATGTATGTTTAGTGTCCAGTACTATCTCCTTGGCTGTACACACATACATGTATGTTTAGTGTCCAGTACTATCTCCTTGGCCGTACACACATACATGTATGTTAAGTGTCCAGTACTATCTCCTTGGCTGTACACACATACATGTATGTTTAGTGTCCAGTAATATCTCCTTGGCTGTACACACATACATGTATGTTTAGTGTCAAGTAATATCTCCTTGGCTGTACACACATACATGTATGTTTAGTGTCCAGTACTATCTCCTTGGCTGTACACACATACATGTATGTTTAGTGTCAAGTACTATCTCCTTGGCTGTACACACATACATGTATGTTTAGTGTCCAGTAATATCTCCTTGGCTGTACACACATACATGTATGTTTAGTGTCAAGTAATATCTCCTTGGCTGTACACACATACATGTATGTTTAGTGTCAAGTAATATCTCCTTGGCTGTACACACATACATGTATGTTTAGTGTCGAGTACTATCTCCTTGGCTGTACACACATACATGTATGTTTAGTGTCCAGTACTATCTCCTTGGCTGTACACACATACCTGCACGTGCTGCCCCACCAGCAAGGTAACACCGGGGACATTTGTCTTGCTGATGCTTTATACCGTGAATTGCATTCATTTCATTACTGACACCCGACTATAACCCGACTAACGGAGACTTTAACCCGACTAATGGAGACTGTAACCCGATTAACGGAGATTATAACCCGACTAGGCGAGACTATAACCCGACTAACGGAGACTATAACCCGACTAATGGAGACTGTCAACCGACTAACGGAGACTATAACCCGACTAACGGAGACTTTAACCCGACTAACGGAGATTATAACCCGACTAACGGAGATTGTAACCCGACTAACGGAGACTATAACCCGACTAACGGAGACTATAACCCGACTAACGGAGACTATAACCCGACTAACGGAGACTATAACCCGACTAACGGAGATTGTAACCCGATTAACGGAGATTATAACCCGACTAGGTGAGACTATAACCCGACTAACGGAGACTGTCAACCGACTAACGTAGACTATAACCCGACTAACGGAGATTATAACCCGACTAACGGAGACTATAACCCGACTAACGGAGACTTTAACCCGACTAACGGAGATTACAACCCGACTAGGCGAGACTATAACCCGACTAACGGAGACTGTCAACCGACTAACGGAGACTATAACCCGACTAACGGAGACTATAACCCGACTAACGGAGACTTTAACCCGACTAACGGAGATTATAACCCGACTAACGGAGACTTTAACCCGACTAACGGAGACTATAACCAGACAAGGCGAGACCATAACCCCAGCGGCTGAGATAGTCACCCGACTAGCCGAGACAGTAACCCGAGTAGCCGAGATAGTCACCCGACTAGCCGTATTGGTAACCGGTGGTGTAATGGACACATGCGGACATGGGTCATTCTTTAACAGTGATCATTTCCCTTGGGCGTTCTTCCTCTGGTGAACTACACCCACTGGTCAGGACACAAGTCAGTATTTCGAAGACACGTGAAACACCTTTTTAAACAAACACCGCTAATGTAATGAATTTCATAATGTCATCCAAATTAACTTTCATCCTCAAATTCCTTAAAGTACACATACCATATAAGGTGGAGCCAACGTGCGTGTTGTAAGTAGACATTCATGTGTATTACTACAACGGGTTCCCGGATGTGACGATCTGTGTAATCACGAGGGTGTGGTGTTTACCTCGGCTACACGCATCACACACGCATCACACACGCATCACACACGCACCTGGTACATTCCCAGCACACTGCAGATGTTACAACATGTCTGGAGGATGCAACTATATTTAGCTGATAGAGACACCTGTACGTATGACATCTTGTTTGTTTGTTGTTTAACGCCGCACTCAACAATATTCTAGCTATATGAGTGAGTGAGTGAGTTGGGTTTAACGCCGCTTTTAACAGTATTCCAGTTATATCACGGCGTAACAGCTTAATGTGGGAGGAAAGCCCGAAGTGATTCCCCCCCACCACCAGATCCCGTTTATCGCCTGTTACGACAACCATAGTCGCCTAATACGACAAAGTCACCTTTACGGCAAGCATGGGTTGCTGAAGACCCCGGATGACTGCAGTCTGTGTAAATACACAGCGTTATTCACGTGCTTCCTAGCTGACCAGCTGAAGGGTCGGAATGTCGCCTCGACACCTTGTGTTATAACACAACAAACGTTGCAGTCCATATTTGTTTCGATAACAAGAAGACTCTAGGTTGTAAAATATCATTAATGAATCATTTGGAGGACACAATTTGGCGATACATCTTTATCACTGCATTCTTATACGCGCGTCACAGATGTACCCTGTTCTCAATAAATACACGATTAGAGCGGGAATAAGATGAGTTTATGACCAATCAGAAAGACGCTATTTAAGCGGGCAATGATGTCAAGATCCTATGGTTGGGATCTCGTTCTGACGTTGTCTGTAAAGCGACTGGGCGCATGCGCACACTGACATCCGATGTTGAGCGGCTCCCAGATGGCGGCGTAGCGATACACTCCCTGCACGCACGCGGTCCGCCGGAACACCTTGGTGTAATATATTATTGGCAGACAGTCCATCAGGTTGGAGGGGCCATTGTCTGGTCTCAGACATTCACCACAATTGCACTGAGTCTCGACCAAGGTGTCTGGTCTTCTGTTCTCGTCGTAGTTCAACACGTAGTGGAAGGGGCAGACCCTCCCCCCATGACGTCGCACCGCCTCCTCCCACGTCGGGCACTGGGGCTCCCCCGTCAACACCGCGTGCCTCAAGTGTACGAACTGTTCGTGGACTGAAGAAAGATTGGCAACAGTGTCCAGGAGAGGTGGAATTTGGTAAAAACTGTCATGGAGTTCATTTTGGAAGTCTATTTTACGGTTAACAGGCTCCCGGCAGCGTCCGGCTCTTCTTCCGGTAGCCCAAGCTGAACATTGCGGCATCGCTATGACGACACACGTTGTGAGGAGTATCTAGAAACAAAATATCGAGTGGTTATCCTTGGTGTATCCTTGTCCGACATAACGAGTCCATCTCTGGATCGTGACTAGATGTATCACTGAACCGTTCAATCCCGAATAACAGTCACAGACATTTCGGTCCAATCCCAAAAAACATTCACAGACATTTCTGTCCAATCCCGAATAACAGTCACATACATTTCTGTCCAATCCTGAATAACAGTCACATACATTTCTGTCCAATCCCTGTACGTCGGTTTGTCGGTTTCATTCACAAAGAAAACTGACACGCGATACTCACGTGACTAAGCCCCCTTTCCCATTCCACTTAGACTGTGACTACACAAAGCCATTCAGAAAGTGGTCAGTTGAAAGAAATGTTATATTTGGGAGAACACCTTTTTAGTAAAGTACAACTTCTAGTGTAGCCTCGGTGGCTGAGGGGGTTACATTGCTGACTTTGTGTGCAGGCGATATCGTGCCTCAATCTGGCAGTCTGGGTTCGAATCCCATCTGTACTTTTCTAAGATAGTGTTTTCTCAAATATAACATTTATTGCATTCAACTTAGACGAGCAAGAAAGTGAGTCACGCTGTTGCTTTCGTGTAAATTTAGAAAGATGTCAAGACCGCCTCCGTGGTCTAGTGGTAGAGCGTCCGCCCGGAGAGCGGAAGCCCGGGGTTCGATCCCCGGCCGAGTCATAACAAAAGACGTTAAAAGATTGTACTTGTTGTTACCCTGGCGCTCGGCATTAAGGGACTAAAACAAGGACTGTCTGAGTGAGGTATTTATGTTAAACTGCGGCATGGTCTCTCAGTGGGCTAGCACTATAAATCGGCATCAGTCCGGAGTAGTACAAGCAGCCACACAAACACACACACGTACATGCACGTCGCTATATAAGTGCAATAATCTTGGACGTGACGTTAAACTCCATTTCGGCTCACCTAGAAAGATGTCAGTTCTCAAACAACTGACATGAAACGATTCGTCAGAGGTCAGGTTTCTCAGATGTTCCCTAATACCAAAGGAGTCATGCAGAAAATCTTTAGCTCGACCGACTGATGCAGAATGACTTCCTAAAATAAATTAGCGAGTTCAACTTGTACACAGCAAATTTAGTCTTATGCTTATGGGACGTTTTACTTGAATATAGGATTTATAGAAATAACTTCATGCTGGGATGAACAGCCCGTGTTCTGTACTGAAATAAACATGCATTGATGCACAACTTATGAGAGAGTGAGTGAGTATGGTTTTGTCGCCGCTTTTAACATTATTCCATCAATATCACGGCGAGAGACACCAGAAATGGGCTTCACACATTGCAACCATGTGGGGAATCGAACCCGGGTCTTCGGCTAGACGAGCGAACGCTTTAACCCCTAGGCTACCCCACCGCCCCATCAACTTACCAGAAGAATCCTGACAATGATATGAAATACATACAAGGGCGATACATGCCAAGACCCGTGAAGATCAGCCGTAAAAGGCGACTAACAGGATCGGCTGGTCAGGCTCGCTGACTTGGTTGATACATGCTAAGACCCGTGAAGATCAGCCGTAAAAGGCGACTAACGGGATCGGGTGGTCACGCTCGCTGACTTGGTTGATACATGCTAAGACCCGTGAAGATCAGCCGTAAAAGGCGACTAACAGGATCGGGTGGTCACGCTCGCTGACTTGGTTGATGCATGTCATCGTATCCTTAATGCGTGGATCGATGCTCATGATGTCATTCACTAAATTATATGGTCCAGACTCGATTGTTTACAGACCGCCGTTATACAGCTCGAATATTGCGGCGTTAAACAACAAGCAAACAACGAAACTTAAACTCCACGAAACAGTAAACACAATTCCGATATTATCAAGAAGCGCATTTAAGGAATCTACGTGACCGACAGTGGCATCGTCTTGAACGCCTCGTGGGGGCGGGGTAGAGGAGGCCTGGCACTATATGGCTGGTAGTCTGAGGCGAAACAAGATGGCGGTCAGTCAGGGGACATGGTTGATTTGGTCTCATCCCCCAGAGGGCTGGACATGTTGGCCTGACATGAATATTTACAGGTCGCTGTGATATTTACAAACAACAACAAAAAACAAACAAACAAATGTCTTTAAAGAGATATCGAATGAATGAAGGTACACGTGTAGAAGTAGGGGGTGGGTAACCTAGTGGGGAAAGCGTTCGATCGTCCGGGTTCGATTCCCGTCATGAGAACAATGTGCGAAACCCGCGTGTGGTGCCCCCCACGGCCATATTGCTGGAATAGTGCTAGAATCTGCATAAAACTATATGAGTAATTGTTCATCTATATAAAATTAATGAATTGAGAATATCATATACATTTCATAAAAGATAGGTATGAATCTATTTCTCTAATGAACGACCATGTTATGTAAACGCCCTTATCACAAACGTTATAAACCGGTGTTTAAAGAAAGGGGATCGATCATTCATACGTGTAGAACTGCGTTGTTGTATGCTGAAGCCGCAAGACACAGTCTCTTACCGTTCCCGGGGACGGTCGGGTAGCCTAGTGGTTAAAGCGTTGGCTTGTCACGCCAAAGGCCAGGGTTCGAGTTACAATGTGTAAAGCCAGTTTCTGATGTCCCCCGCCGTGATATTACTGGAAAAAGCGGCGTAAAACCATACTCACTCACTCACTCACTCACTCACTTACCGTTCCCGGTGACAGCAGTAACGTCATGGTGGCTGTGTCGTCGATTTCTTGGAAGTAACGCGTGGGAAGATCTTACTTTGTTTTGGATTTTCAGAAAAGTATCCAGTATATATACCAGGTGCTCACGTGACAGCTACATTGCGGGTGGGGAGAGGGGCTTTTTTCAAGTGACGTCATTTCTCTCCCAGTAATTAATCTCCACCAATAGCTATTGACGCTATCATTCCTTCAGGAACTTGTCACTGATCCCCGTCTTCCGGATCCACTCTCTGTTGCGGAGAGATTCCTCGCATCATTAATTTACCGCCAGTCGCTGTGTGGAGCTGACGCTAGCACACCCCAAAACTCCTCACAGCGATGTCCCGTTCGTGGAGCTCTCTGCACATTCGCTGCCACCAGTCAAAAGCTGTGCGCTCGTCACGCCGAAGACCCGGGTTCGATTCCCGACATGGGTACAATGTGTGAAGCCCATTTCTAGTGTCCCCCGCCGTGATATTGCTGGAATATTGCTAAAAGCGGCGTAAAACCATACTTAGTCAGTCAGTCAAAAGCTCCCCACTGTGATAGGTGGCTACAGACATGATTGAAATTGAACTCGCAACCGACTCGCCGTTATGTTTACAAACAAGTGATGACTGCCTTGACCCCGAATACTCTTACCCTGCTATTTTTTTTATTTGTTTGTTAATCTAATTTGAATCTCTGTTTCATTACAATTAGCATGTACTTGGAAAAGTAAGAGAGAAGGTGGCTGATTTTCAAACAAACAAAAAGGTAAATTCATTTGGGAAATATGGTCAATCGTAATCCTTTTCAAAATTAACTGCAGCGATGGTGGCAGCGATGGTGGCAGCGATGTTACCGAGTGTGAGGAAGGTGTCACCCGGCTGTATTGCTGGGGTCACGTGGTTGATGGCGGAGAACCAACGTGTTGTGTGGAGTTCAGGGTTGTTCGTCCCGGGGACATTATTGTAAAGTGTGACAAGTTAAAAATAATTAGTGAATCTAAGACAATCTTCAATTCCGAGTCAATTATGTGATTAAATTCAATTTCAAGTTGGTTAGTTCGAAAGCGTGTGGGTGTGGGTGGCTTGGGGGATAGGGTTTGCGTGCGTGCGTGCGTGTCTGTGTCTGTGTCTGTGTCTGTGTCTGTGTGTGTGTATTTTTGGAAATTACAGAGAGACAGATCAATATATAGTCAATATGGTGTTGGAACGACCGCACGCGAACTTCTCTGTGACGTCATGAACAGTGAATAATGACATGACGTCATGAACAGTTGGTGACGTCTTTGTTCCCGGCCAATTCAGACATTTGCTCCAATCGCACGGACCAAACTAAACCGACTAACGGTGTGCATCACAGGGTCCCCGATTAAGGTTTCCCAGCTGCTTATTCAACACGACACATGTCCAGATTAAGAAAGTAAATGATGAAAAGAAATAAAATAGCAGCCTTTCAAAAAATCAAGTCAAACAACTCTCCTGACGTCATAGTATTATCTTTGTGTGACGTCAGGAGCAGTATGGCGTAATAATGCTCCAACTAACCAATCAGCTAAATCAGTGTATTCAAATGTCAGAAACCACCCGGTCGAAGTTTTTTGTTTTCTAAACATTCTTTGTCATTTAATGAGTCTTCCGCCTCGTCAACAGCAATCGTGACGTATACACAGGTGAGGCGGGAAGTAACATTGTTGAAGTTCATAAGCTGAAAACTACAAAATATATAAAATAAATTTCGGGAACTGTTGGCACTGAGGTGAAACGAATATTATAAAGTGTGACTACACAGTGACAAGTACTTTACAGGGGAACATGATACTCACTTCAGTCTACCCTGTGCCTGACGCCAGCCGGGGACCTTACACATAACACACCGAAATCATATGTCTATTGACATTTCGAATTTCAAGCAAACGATATCATTCAAACTTTTTTTAAATATATAAAAAAAGATAGATTAACGATTAACTAAGGATCTATATCGAATGATAATGATATCATGTATAACACCTCCCTTGGAACTTAGGTACAATACAATACAATACAACGCAATACAATATGTACAATATGTAACACGTTGCATCAGTACATCTGCTTGTTTTGATTGCTTACGCTAACATTCGGGGAACATGATCACTTCGGGGGTAGGTGTGGGGGGCGGAGGAGGGGTCATGTGACAGTCATCACGTGACAATGAACACGTCAGTAGGTCCTGTCTTCCTCCTATTGTAGGATGTGGCATTACCTGCTCGAGGGAGACAAGAAGCGGACATTGCTCGTTGTGGGGCTCACCGCATGAAGCCTTCCGAGTGCTGGGTGCGGTGGAGGGAGCGTAAGAAGAGGGCCGACAGCTGATACACAATCACATATCGGGCCGAGGAATACGCTCATTACAATTACTTCTCTAGTGAAGCCTTCACTGATGAATGTAGTCATTAATACAAGTACTTCACTATTGTAGCCTTCACTATTGAATGCGGTCATTGATATAAGTACTTCACTATTGTAGCCTTCACTATTGAATGCGGTCATTGATACAAGTACTTCACTATTGTAGCCTTCACTATTGAATGCGGTCATTGATACAAGTACTTCACTATTGTAGCCTTCACTATTGAATGCGGTCATTGATACAAGTACTTCACTATTGTAGCCTTCACTATTGAATGCGGTCATTGATACAAGTTCTTCACTATTGTAGCCTTCATTATTGAATGCGGTCATTGATACAAGTACTTCACTATTGTAGCCTTCACTATTGAAATGCTGCCTTATGTATAATCATCTTGTTGAAGCAGATATCGATGTTAATATGAGAGAGGAAACCCTGCCCAGTATAATATATAATACCCACAGTCTATTGTATATTTCCGTCTCTATAATAAGCATGTATAACAAGGAATCACTTTCAGATTGTGACGACAGAGCGTGTTCGCGAAAACTTGAGAGTATCCTGTCCCACCGGTAACACCCATCACAAACACATGCAAAAGGCAATCAGCTGTTCACCAGACACATGTCTTTTAAATTTTGATGCAGATAGGGTGAAGAAGACAATTTGTAAATTGATGGAAATTGTCAGACAGTTTACAAATTTACTTATATGTTGCTCAATATATATTTCAGTCACTGACTTGAGAATTTGCAGTGATAACATGCACTGTTTAGTGTTCATTCAGCTTCCAGAAGACCCTGGCGGTCTAGTGGCCTTGACCTTGACCCATGACGAGTGGCACCGGAAGTGGACAGAGGACATGCGCCTCGAGAACACCATATTAGTGTGGTTAATTCTATGTAGGATGTGATGAATGTGTGTGTTCATGTGACATGGACAATGTCCTGACGTTTCTGGTGAATTGTTTATGGTTTTTCCAACGTTATAACTCATAGGTTTCGAAAAGGCAACAGCGGTAGTGATACCGGGTACCCTTTTCACGACGTCAAGGCATTGATCGCGGTCTTCCATGTGATCATCTGTACAATATCATCAAATATACAGGGGCGGTCGGGTAGCCTAGTGGTCAAAGCGTTCGCTCGTCACGCCGAAGACCCGGGTTCGATTCCCAATATGGGTACAATGTGTGAAGCCCATTTCTGGTGTCCCCCGCCGTGATATTGCTGGAATATTACTAAAATCGGCGTAAAACCATACTCACTCACTCACTCACTCACTCACTCATCAAATATACAGCTGGTAGGTAACCCAACCAGTGACGTCACGTCTAATAAATAATAACGTAGTAGTTATTATGGCACAATGTATATTTCACGTTACTATGGTAATGTAATATATAATAATATTATATGTATAATTTGACCAGAAATACATATTTATTAAATGCACACATTAACCAATAAATTACAACCACTATAAATGTCAAACTGAAAACAGCAAAACAGACTAATTTAAATAGATAAATCACAAAGTACGTGATAAACAGTAAATGGAAGTAGTTAACGTTGGTACATGTATATTTTGTGACCTTGAATTGATATCGAGTAGGGGCGTTGGGGTAGCCAGTGCTTGAAGCATTCTCTGGTCACGCCGAAGTCCCGGGTTCGTTTCCCCACATGGGTGCAGTGTGTGAAACCTATGTCTGGAGTCCCTCGACGTGATATTGCTGGAATATTGCCAAAAGCGGCGTAAGACCATACTCACTCACTCACTCACTGATATCGAATACAGCAATACAAGAAGAACCATAGCACCTGAGAAGATAGTCCTTAATAATCAGGATGTCACAAACAGGAGATATTGATAAATTAAAGATATGAGATATCGTACGTATGTATATGTGTAGATGATTTGAAAAAGTAAAAACGTAATTCAGTCAAAAGATTACGCTTTCAATATGTATCACAACCTTACACATTTTGCAGGTAGTTCAAATGTTAATTCATGTTCAAGGGAGGCTAAGGTGGAGATCTTGTCAGTTCAAGTCCTAGAGCGTCTAGGGTAGAGATCTTGCTAGTGAGTTGTCTGTAAAGCGACTGGGCGCATGCGCACACTGACATCCGATGTTGAGCGGCTCCCAGATGGCGGCGTACCGATACACTCCCTCCACGCACGCGGTCCGCCGGAACACCTTGGTGTAATATATTATCGGCTGACAGTCCATCAGGTTGGAGGGGCCATTGTCTGGTCTCAGACATTCACCACAATTGCACTGAGTCTCGACCATGGTGTCTGGTTTTCTGTTCTCGTCGTAGTTCAACACGTAGTGGAAGGGGCAGACCCTCCCCTCATGATGTCGCACCGCCTCCTCCCACGTCGGACACTGGGGCTCTCCGGCGAAAATCGTGTGTCTTATTCTGACGAACTGTTCCGGGATTGTTGAGAGATTGGCGACAGTGTGGAGGAGAGGGGGGACTTGGTAAAAACTGTCACGGAGACGGTCTTCAATATTCATTTTACGGTTTGTAGGCTCCCGACAGCGTCTTGATCTTCTCTGGGCTGTACATTGCGGGATCGCTATGAGCATTAACAACGTGAAGCGTTTCTGAAAATGAATAATCAAAATCCGTTACTATCTCAATGTCTCAACGGACAGCTAGACGTTTCGTGTTGATTGTATAATGTGCATTGCTAGCTGTGGGTATGTCACTACGGACGTTATAACTGCCGCTTGCCGCTCTGTGTCTGCCTTCAGTGGTGTTGGTCTGAACATTACGGATTCGCGGAGATACAAAAACTATTGGCCTGTCTTTCAAAGCCGACAAATGCTCTGTAAATTTTATTTTATCTGCTTCTCATTTGTTTTATTTAAATACTGTAGAGAAAGATTTCAAGTCTCATGGCTAGATATTTCAAAGAGCGTCATACGACTCTTGCTCAGAAGTTGTTTGATCAAGGTTCAACATTCAAGGCCTCAATAAAGCTTTAAAAATCTGGAGTAAATTTCCAAATTTGACGCCTCAGTGACAAATATTATATGCCATTCCTGATTTTAGCTTGAACCATATGTTCCCGTGTTTTTCAGGTGAACAACTGACTTGCCTTTGCATGTGTTTGTGACGGGTGCCACCGGTGGGGCAGGATACGCTCACCGTTTCGCGAACACCTGGCATCATCACTATTTGATAGTGATTCATAAACACATGCCCATGATAGAGTCCGAATCGTACTGTCAACCTTGACTTACATTCAGAAACGTTAGTTTATAAACTGCTGGGCAAAAGAAAGAACACTTGAAACTTGGATATGACCAAAATAACAAAAACGTATCTAGGCTGCAAAACACTAGGATACTCGTATCAGGTACATCATGACAACACAGCACTACAGTTATACCAAACAGGTGTCATGACAACACAGCACTACAGTTATACCAAACATGTTTTACGACAACACAGCACTACAGTTATACCAAACATGTTTCATGACAACACAGCACTACAGTTATACCAAACATGTGTCATGACAACACAGCACTACAGTTATACCAAACATGTTTCACGACAACACAGCACTACAGTTATACCAAACATGTTTCATGACAACACAGCACTACAGTTATACCAAACATGTTTCATGACAACACAGCACTACAGTTATACCAAACATGTTTCACGACAACACAGCACTACAGTTATACCAAACATGTGTCATGACAACACAGCACTACAGTTATACCAAACATGTTTCATGACAACACAGCACTACAGTTATACCAAACATGTTTCATGACAACACAGCACTACAGTTATACCAAACATGTGTCATGACAACACAGCACTACAGTTATTCCAAACATGTGTCATGACAACACAGCACTACAGTTATACCAAACATGTTTCACGACAACACAGCACTACAGTTATACCAAACATATGTCATGACAACACAGCACTACAGTTATACCAAACATGTGTCATGACAACACAGCACTACAGTTATATCAAACATGTTTCATGACAACACAGCACTACAGTTATACCAAACATGTTTCACGACAACACAGCACTACAGTTATACCAAACATGTTTCATGACAACGCAGCACTACAATTATACCAAACATGTTTCACGACAACACAGCACTACAATTATACCAAACATGTTTCACGATAACACAGCACTACAATTATACCAAACATGTTTCACGACAACACAGCACTACAGTTATACCAAACATGTTTCATGACAACGCATCGCTACAATTATACCAAACATGTTTCACGACAACACAGCATACAGTTATACCAAAGATGTTTCATGACAACACAGCACTACAAATATACGAAACATGTTTCACAACAACACAGCACTACAGTTATACAAAACATGTTTCACGACAACACAGCACTACAGTGGTACCAAACATGTTTCACGACAACACGGCACTACAGTTATACCAAACATGTTTCACGACAACACAACACTACAGTTATACCAAACATGTTTCACGACAACACAGCACTACAGTTATACCAAACATGTTTCACAACAACACATCACTACAGTTATACCAAACATGTTTCATTACAACACAGCACTACAGTTATACCAAACATGTTTCATAACAACACAGCACTACAGTTATACCAAACATGTTTCACGACAACGCAGCACTACAGTTATACCAAACATGTTTCATGTCAACACAGTACTACAGTTATACCAAACATGTTTCACGACAACACAGCACTACAGTGGTACCAAACATGTTTCACGACAACACAGCACTACAGTTATACCAAACATGTTTCACGACAACACAACACTACAGTTATACCAAACATGTTTCACGACAACACAGCACTACAGTTATACCAAACATGTTTCACGACAACACAGCACTACAGTTATGCCAAACATGTTTCACGACAACACAGCACTACAGTTATACCAAACATGTTTCACGACAACACAGCACTACAGTTATACCAAACATGTTTCACGACAACACAGCACTACAGTTATACCAAACATGTTTCACGACAACACAGCACTACAGTTATACCAAACATGTTTCACGAGAACACATCACTACAGTTATACCAAACATGTTTCACGACAATACAGCACAATAATTTTACCTAAAGTTCAAAAAGGTTTCCATTGTGAGACTAAAATCGGATAACAAGACGCTAACGTATAATATTATAGCATCGTGTTCAACTTCCACTTTGTATTAGTAATATACGCATCGTAAAAAACCTGACAGACATAACTTGTGTGATGCCTAACGCTATATTACCACAGCAGTGGGAGGCACGAATGGCCCATTCGTCTAAGACGCCGCAATTAGCTGTGCGGAGTTGTGTCCCTTGGACACGTCAGTAACCTATAATTGTGGGTTCGAATCCTGGTTATGTTTCTAGGTTTGTCCGTACCATACCCGTGCTCGAGGGTTTAGCCTAAACGGTAAACGTTGAGACCCAATAACTAGGGGCTTTCCTCCCACAGTAAGTAAACACGCCGTGATATAACTGGAACACTGCTCAAAGCGGCGTTAAACCCAACTCACTCACTCACTCATAAAAGGTGGTGCAATCTCGGAGAGTTATTTCTCACCATGAAGCAGGAGGCCAGCATCTTCATCTTGTCGGCCTTTGTAGCGTTGTAAAGATTGGCAGTGAATGACTTTCCCAGAGACCAACCTACAACTAATATACCCCCATACATCCGTCATAGCCACCCGAAATAGCGGATGACCAAATGGGTTTTCACATCATGCCTGGATGCTGTGTAATCCACCAGTCACTGTTGTGGCGGCATTGTCTGCTGGACGCACCACCTCCCTGCCCCTTCCGTCTCCACCCTCCTTCATCCTCCTTCACTGATGCAATTCGCTGAATCCATAGATTCAGTCGTCCGAATCACGTCTTGGTCGAAGGGGAATTTTTGGATATTTATATTCCTCGTCCTAAGATATGTATTCTGTTTGTGTTTGTATGGATGCCGATGCTGAAAACAAACACGGCCACGTAATCATTCATACCAGCCTGTATTAGTCTGTAACTGAAACACTGAGTGAGTGAGTGAGGCTTTAACCATTAGGCTACGCGGCGGCCTCTTAACTCAGTGTTATGTATACTATAGTAATATGCAGACCTCGGAGCCGTATCGGCCCTACAGTATGCATTCCGTGCACCGACCCCTTGCCCCGCCTTGTGCCAGCGGAGTGTTTCCGACCCGTCAGTGTGTACACTTATATCCACAATTCTGAATTTATGAGTTACTGTATATGTTAAACGATTAACATGTAAAACACGTCAACACTTTTAGTAAAAGCATACTTTATTGATGAACACCCCTTGTATGACAAGGAACACAGTCTTCATATAGGTACGAACCGTGAACATCCGGGCTGGAGTAGGTCTTCAGCAACCAGTGCTTGCCGTAAAGTATGCTTGTTGTAAGAGGCGACTAACGGGATCGGGTCGATTATTTACAGACCGCCGTCATATTGCTGGAGTGCGGCGTTAAACAACAAAAAAAACAAATCATACAAAGGTGCAAGATGTGAGGTCGCCAACACACAAGAGAAAATGTAATTGTCAGTGACAATAAACCAGGAAATAAACCTGACCTTTAAATGTTACCTCAACACTGCTTGGCATTTAAAATGTTATAGTCATACATGTGACACGAGCAGGGATGCATTGTACAAAGATATAATGAAAACCCACACACATTACATCACATCGTGACGTGGTACACTCGTGTACATCAGTATGTTCAGCATGATTATGTAGTTGGTTGCTTGTATAAAACAAAAGCAAGCGGTGTTTTAATCAACTCCACACATCAAACTTGAAAATCAAAATTAAAATAGAGTCCTGTTGCAGTACAAAGAGACATGAGTACAGGGTGGAGTTTTATTTCGTTCACGACTGAAGGGATCGCCTTGTATTGTTGCAAATGTTAATAACAACAATTACAACATCAATGGGTTCAAACGTAACAAGGCTAATTGTTCTGGGGCATGTTTTGAGGGATGGGATGGGCATGAAGGATAATTTCACTGCAATATTTTGTGGCAAAATTGACCAATGACACGAATCCTCGTGAGTTGTATCAACTGCCGCATCCCACATCTCGGATGCATCTTTGCCTGCTGGAGACGACACGTGGAACAGCGTCATTGTTGAATGTTGAACTGATCTAAAATCATGAATGGTCACTTCCTTGTCTGCATCATTAGAAAAACATTAATGATGGATAATTGAGGGGTGCAATGAACCTGCAATTAAATCAACGTTGAGACGGATGCTGCACATCAATAATATGCCTGAAACGTGCGTCCAAAACAACCATTTCAATGGCAAGAAAGGAAATGTTCCTATTAGAATTACCTCATGGCGAAACGTTTACATCTTCAGAATTTTTCCACGTGCACGTATGTGATATAAAGGGGCATGGATATGGATGTCTCAACAGTATATATTCAGTGGTGTGCTGAGATCGGCTGTAAGTACAGTATATATTCAGTGGGGTGCTGAGATCCGCTGTAAGTACAGTATATATTCAGTGGGATGCTGAGATCCACTGTAAGTACAGTATATATTCAGTGGGATGCTGAGATCGGCTGTAAGTACAGTATATATTCAGTGGGGTGCTGAGATCGGCTGTAAGTACAGTATATATTCAGTGGGGTGCTGAGATTAGCTGTAAGTACAGTATATATTCAGTGGGGTGCTGAGATCGGCTGTAAGTACAGTATATATTCAGTGGGGTGCTGAGATCGGCTGTAAGTACAGTATATATTCAGTGGGGTGCTGAGATTAGCTGTAAGTACAGTATATATTCAGTGGGGTGCTGAGATCGGCTGTAAGTACAGTATATATTCAGTGGGATGCTGAGATCCGCTGTAAGTACAGTATATATTCAGTGGGATGCTGAGATCGGCTGTAAGTACAGTATATATTCAGTGGGATGCTGAGATCCGCTGTAAGTACAGTATATATTCAGTGGTGTGCTGAGATCGGCTGTAAGTACAGTATATATTCAGTGGGGTGCTGAGATCGGCTGTAAGTACAGTATATATTCAGTGGGATGCTGAGATCCGCTGTAAGTACAGTATATATTCAGTGGTGTGCTGAGATCGGCTGTAAGTACAGTATATATTCAGTGGGGTGCTGAGATCGGCTGTAAGTACAGTATATATTCAGTGGGATGCTGAGATCCGCTGTAAGTACAGTATATATTCAGTGGGGTGCTGAGATCGGCTGTAAGTACAGTATATATTCAGTGGGGTGCTGAGATCGGCTGTAAGTACAGTATATATTCAGTGGTGTGCTGAGATCGGCTGTAAGTACAGTATATTTTCAGTGGGATGCTGAGATCCGCTGTAAGTACAGTATATATTCAGTGGTGTGCTGAGATTAGCTGTAAGTACAGTATATATTCAGTGGGATGCTGAGATCGGCTGTAAGTACAGTATATATTCAGTTGGATGCTGAGATCGGCTGTAAGTACAGTATATATTCAGTGGGGTGCTGAGATCGGCTGTAAGTACAGTATATATTCAGTGGGGTGCTGAGATTAGCTGTAAGTACAGTATATATTCAGTGGGATGCTGAGATTAGCTGTAAGTACAGTATATATTCAGTGGGGTGCTGAGATCGGCTGTAAGTACTGTATATATTCAGTGGGGTGCTGAGATTAGCTGTAAGTACAGTATATATTCAGTGGGATGCTGAGATTAGCTGTAAGTACAGTATATATTCAGTGGGGTGCTGAGATCCGCTGTAAGTACAGTATATATTCAGTGGTGTACTGAGATCGGCTGTAAGTACAGTATATATTCAGTGGTGTGCTGAGATCCGCTGTAAGTACAGTATATATTCAGTGGGGTGCTGAGATCCGCTGTAAGTACAGTATATATTCAGTGGGGTGCTGAGATCGGCTGTAAGTACAGTATATATTCAGTGGGGTGCTGAGATCGGCTGTAAGTACAGTATATATTCAGTGGGGTGCTGAGATCCGCTGTAAGTACAGTATATATTCAGTGGGGTGCTGAGATCCGCTGTAAGTACAGTATATCTTAAGTGGGGTGCTGAGATCGGCTGTAAGTACAGTATATATTAAGTGCGGTGCTGAGATCGGCTGTAAGTACAGTATATATTAAGTGCGGTGCTGAGATCGGCTGTAAGTACAGTATATATTAAGTGCGGTGCTGAGATCGGCTGTAAGTACAGTATATATTCAGTGGGGTGCTGAGATCGGCTGTAAGTACAGTATATATTAAGTGCGGTGCTGAGATCCGCTGTAAGTACAGTATATATTCAGTGGGGTGCTGAGATCCGCTGTAAGTACAGTATATCTTAAGTGGGGTGCAGAGATCGGCTGTAAGTACAGTATATATTCAGTGGGGTGCTGAGATCGGCTGTAAGTACAGTATATATTAAGTGCGGTGCTGAGATCCGCTGTAAGTACAGTATATATTCAGTGGGGTGCTGAGATCGGCTGTAAGTACAGTATATATTAAATGGGGTGCTGAGATAGGCTGTAAGTACAGTATATATTCAGTGGGGTGCTGAGATTAGCTGTAAGTACAGTATATATTCAGTGGGGTGCTGAGATCGGCTGTAAGTACAGTATATATTCAGTGGGGTGCTGAGATCCGCTGTAAGTACAGTATATATTAAGTGGGGTGCTGAGATCGGCTGTAAGTACAGTATATATTAAGTGCGGTGCTGAGATCCGCTGTAAGTACAGTATATATTCAGTGGGGTGCTGAGATCGGCTGTAAGTACAGTATATATTCAGTGGGGTGCTGAGATCGGCTGTAAGTACAGTATATATTCAGTGGGGTGCTGAGATCGGCTGTAAGTACAGTATATATTCAGTGGTGTGCTGAGATCGGCTGTAAGTACAGTATATATTCAGTGGTGTGCTGAGATTAGCTGTAAGTACAGTATATATTAAGTGGGGTGCTGAGATAGGCTGTAAGTACAGTATATATTAAGTGCGGTGCTGAGATCCGCTGTAAGTACAGTATATATTCAGTGGGATGCTGAGATCGGCTGTAAGTACAGTATATATTCAGTGGGGTGCTGAGATCGGCTGTAAGTACAGTATATATTTAGTGGGGTGCTGAGATCGGCTGTAAGTACAGTATATATTCAGTGGTGTGCTGAGATCCGCTGTAAGTACAGTATATATTCAGTGGGGTGCTGAGATCCGCTGTAAGTACAGTATATCTTAAGTGGGGTGCTGAGATCGGCTGTAAGTACAGTATATATTCAGTGGGGTGCTGAGATCGGCTGTAAGTACAGTATATATTAAGTGCGGTGCTGAGATCCGCTGTAAGTACAGTATATATTCAGTGGGGTGCTGAGATCGGCTGTAAGTACAGTATATATTTAGTGGGGTGCTGAGATCGGCTGTAAGTACAGTATATATTCAGTGGTGTGCTGAGATCGGCTGTAAGTACAGTATATATTCAGTGGTGTGCTGAGATTAGCTGTAAGTACAGTATATATTAAGTGGGGTGCTGAGATAGGCTGTAAGTACAGTATATATTAAATGGGGTGCTGAGATAGGCTGTAAGTACAGTATATATTCAGTGGGGTGCTGAGATTAGCTGTAGGTACAGTATATATTCAGTGGGGTGCTG